TAAATAAATAAATAAATAAATAAATAAATAAATAAATAAATAAATAATAAAATAAACATACGAATAATTCTACAAAGAGGATATGCTCTTATATTTTGATCATAACATTGATGAGAATATATTCTATATGATTGAGGATTTCCAGTAGATGATTGAATTATTGTACAATAATCATCATTATTATTAACTTCATTTACATTTATTTCCAATCGTTCTTCATTTAAATTAATAACCTTGGATTTTTTTTAAAAAAAAAAAAATTTATTTAAAATAAATCTTAATAATAAAAAGTTACATTTGATTCCCATTGTTGAATATTATTAATTCTTTTTAAACCAATAAAAAAAGAAAGTGTATCATTTCTAGCTGCATTTCTTTGATAACGAAATAATTGATGAATTGTTGTTAAAATAGTATCTAGATTTATTTAATTATTAAATAAAAATAATTAAAAAAAAAAAACCAAGCAAACTTTGAAGAATATCTTGTTCAGTTTTATTAAACCAATAGATTAATGTTCCATTATTATTTGAACAAAATGTTAATGCTTCATCTCGTGTCATATTCGATGGAAATGTAAAATATTTTAAACGATTTTCAATCCAATGTTTCCCTAAATAAAATATTTATTTAAATTAAAATGTTTTTATTTTATTATAAATCTGTACATCCATTATCAATATTAATTGGTTCAATTGAATATAAATCATTTTGACTTCGACATGTTATACTTGATTCTTTATCTTGTCTATAAAGATATCCTCGATGTTCAATAGCTATATCAATTATTGACATTTCTACAAATATACAAGAAATATTTCACTTTTTCTTTTTTTTCTTTTTCAAACCATTTATTCGATTATTAACAAATCTATAACTATTATATGATGATGATGTTGATCTTAATCAAATAAATAAATAAATAAATAAATAAAATAAAATTTCAAACTAACTTAGCTGATAGAATTCCATTTCTAAGAGTACTTTCAAATATAGATGATTGTCTAGAAATATTTTGAATTAATATTCGAGAATTTTCTTCATTCCATGGAGCAATACGACCATCATGCATTGCTGATTTACATACCAATGAATTCTTTTAGCAAATTTATTTAGATTTTCTTTTTAAATAAAATAAAAAAAGCGACATACTCCAGAATATGTTTCATTACCAAATATTGGATATTCGTCTTGATTAGTCAAATATCTGATTGTATAACATGATGATGGACATAATAATATACTAAAATAATATATTTATTCAATGAAATTTAAGATAAAACAAAAGAAATATCGAAACCTTGCATTTGGATACAAAGGATCGTATGTTACTGTTGCATTGTCAAATGTCATAAAACATATTTTTGACAAATAAAATTGACCTTATTAATTAAGAAAAAAAAGACGAAATAATAAATTAATTATTTATAAAAATAAAAAAAAAAAAATTTCAACCATTAATTATTGAAAATGGATTAACTAATATAAAAAAAAGAAAAATGATAAATGATGAATAATAATAAATGTCCATTATTGGATTTCTAATGTATAAACTTCTACCGTTTGAAAAAAAAAACGTATGTATCTTATTAAAGTGAATAATAATGTCTTCGTTTTCTTTTTCAAATATTGATCGTCTTTAATCGAAGATCAATATTCTTTGCATGTCCAAAGATAAATATAATGATCGATAAAAATTTCATAAAATAGAAGAGAGAACGATTGATTTGTTAATGATTGACACCCACTCAACTCTATCATCAATTTATTTTCTCTTATCATTTCATTTCTATTGACAAATTTAAAGAATTATACTTCATTTATCAAATAAATAATCATCACTTATTTATCAAAAAACAAATCGATTATTAACGATTTTTTATTTTTTTTTATCAAATATTATCTCATATAAGATTTTATTTTAATACTAATTTATTAATATATCAATCAAATTAAATATTTTTTAAATCGTTCGTTAAACATCAATTGACCATTTATGTTTGAATGAGAGAAGAACATTTTTTTATTTACTTTGTCAATATAGAACGATTGAATAACAAGATGAACAGTTATTATTATTCTAGAGATATTTTAATTAAAATATCATTTTCAAAAAAAACAAAAAAAAAACCTAATCTTTCATTTTCATTTCTAATCTTTCGAATTGAATTCTTTCAAAATTGTTTTGATCAATTTATATTATATTTAACAACTGTTTTTTCAGTTCTTCAGGAACTTTCAGATGATTGGTCATAGAACGAAAAAAACAAGTATACATATATATATATATATATATATATATCAGCAAAAACGCGTAACGCGTAACCTCAGTCACTATAAATTCAAAATCATCATTTCAGTAATTCATTATTACTATCTTGTAGAGCATAGTTCGTAGGGTACAGAAACATATTTTGTTCTTTTAATTAGTGTTGAGAATCATAGTCAGTGTTTAATAATAAAGATGGCTCTAATATGCAAAGAAGAATAATCATATCAATCTCGTAATTAATCTAATACTTCTATCGATACACTTTGATATACACAAAAGTAATCAAGAGCATTTGACTCTATGCTAATAAGGGTATAATTTGGCACAACAATCGATTTCCTATTTTTTACAGTTTGTCATAGCCACATTCAGTAAAACTATCAAATTTATAGCGTCATCGCGTAACGAAAAATAAGTATTTTTGTTTTTTTCATTTGTTCGCGTCAACTTTTTTTACGGAACATTCGGTGTCTAAAGCTAATTTAATATGGGCTATCTGATGCATGTATTCTTATAGAAAAAGAATTCATTGTATAGTAGCCATACGTAACGCGATGACGCTTTTTACACTTTTCGTGATTTTTGGATATTTAAGAACAGAGGTTTTTGGACATGGAATCAGTATTCAAAATTCACTATTCAGAGTAGATAATGGATTGTATCATTGATTATTGGTAAATTGTGATAAGAATATATTCGATTGGTCCACATAAACAATAGCCAATAAAAAATAAAAGTACCAATTCAAATTAACGTATTGTTTTAATCGAGTCAATCATCTTTAATTCTAAAAATAATGTCAACTTTGTACCTTTCAAAACTATATCAACCTCTTATTAATTGAAAACATTCTAATATTCTTTAAATTCGTTGAATATTAATATATATCATTATTACGGTAATAACTAAATTAATGGCAAAATCAAACGCTGAACGACAAAAAATGTATCGAATAAATTTATTGAAAAATAAACAAAAATTTGATCAAATGAAAGAAAAATCACGCATTCGTGATAATAATAGACGTAAAAATTTAAATGATTATTCATTACAACAATTACGTAATAGGCAAAAACAAGCATCGAAAAAATATCGTGCTAAAAAAAACCTTGAAGGTACAAATAATAAACAATCATCATATAAATGTCCTCAAACACTTGGCAAAGCAGTTAAACGTGTTGTTGAATCTTTACCAAAAGATACAAATAAACGTGTTACTGTAATACGTCATATTGCACAAGAACTTGACATCATTCCTAAAACAATATCACATCACAAACGTGTACAACGTTCATTACCAATTGAATTAAAACAATTGGTCATAAATTTTTATAATCGAGATGATATAAGCTATCAGTTACCAGGCAAACGAGACTTTATCACAATTAAAGATGATAATGGTCAATCAACAACAGTACAAAAAAGAATTCTGTTATTTAGCTCACGTGAAGCACATTCATTATTTTTAACTGAATACGACAATACAAATGTTCATTTATCATTAACATCATTCAATGATTTACGACCATTAAATATTTTATTACAGTCTCACATGTCACATCGTAGTTGTTTATGTGCTTATCACGAAAATATTAATTTGTTAATAAAACCTTTATCAAGATATATTTCATGTTCTGGTTTAAATTCTCTTCAAGCATTTTCAGCAACACTTGTCTGTTGTGAAACAGATGAAAATTGTATGTTTAGTCGATGTTCCTTGTGTGCAAATAATTTTGATAATAATATAACAAAACATATTATTGATTTTACACAAACAATTAATTGGTATCAATGGGTATTAAAAAATGGTTTTTCAAGAAAAGTTGAATTTAATGGTACAATTCAAGATTGTTTAGCAATTTTGAAATCAAAAGTTAATGAATTTTTATCACATGTATTTATTAAACGTCAGCAAGCAGCTTATTTTGAAAAAATAAAAACAAATTCAACTAATGAAATTATTTGTTTACGAATTGATTTTAGTGAAAATTTTCGAATCGATGTTCAAGATTCTATACAAAGCTCATATTTTTCAAAAAAATCAGTTTCATTAATTACTTGCTATGCTTGGTGTTTAAATGTTGGTTATTCATTTGTTTATGTAACAGATAATCTTACACATGATAAGTATTGTGTAAGTGCTGTATTAGAAGATTTATTTTTGAAATTGAAACAACAATATCAACAGTTAAAACAAATTCATATATTTTCTGATGGTGCAAGCCAACAGTTCAAACAAAAATTTTTGTTTAGGAATCTATGTCGTTTAGCTGCAGATTTTCAAGTAATTATTTAAATTATACTTTTACAAAGTTTCAATTATAATGTAATTTAAAATTATTTAGATCAAATTATCTTGGAATTTTTTTGCCACCTCCCATGGGAAGGGCGTGGTAGATGCAGTTGGCGGAACAACAAAACGTCTGGTCTACAATGCAATTATGAGTGGCCAACAATGTAGTTCAGCTGCTGAATTTGTGGAAACTGCTCGATCTAAAACAAGTACTATTAATGTTAATGAGTTAGAAGAAAGTCAAATTGAGCAATCAAAAGCAAAAATGGAACCAATTTTTCAATTAATACAAATAGTACCAGAAACAAAAAAGATCCATTCAATCAATGTACTTGAAAATAATACAATTGAGTATAAATATTATTCGAATAGTACAACTAAAAAGACATATCGATTTCCAAGTTAAAAAATTGTACCATGTAAAATATTCCTCTTTCATTTAATTAAGTATTATTTTATATGAACATAGTGAGACTATATTTTATCAAGATTAGCATTACGAACAAGATTGTTGTACGTGTACAGTAGTTATTTTGTGTTTCATACTCCAATCTTGTACTATTTTATATTAACATAGTATTTTATTTTGATGACGAAAAGATTTTTTATTTTTATTATATCGATTGACTACTTATTATATTGATATCGTTGATTAATTTATTTTCATCATTTGTATATGAAAATTATTAATAAATGTGATATTTGACGCCTCTTTATGATATAGATTGAAAAAAAAGTAGTATGTTGTCTTTACAGTTGTACTTGTACCAAAAAATGCCATAAAAAAAACTTGTTGGTAAAAGTAAGCGTCACCGCGTTACAAGTGCATCATCGCGTTACATTGATAGAAACATTCTATTTTCAAAATAAGAAGTCAATTTGAAAAATATTTTTCATCGCTGAATACCTCACACTGTTTACTACAAAAAGTCTTTAGAGTGTTGTGTTCTAAAGAGTTCACATTCGCAGAAAAATAAAGAGCGAACGCACTACCCTCAACTTTTTGTTCCGTGCGCGTCATCGCGTTACGCCATTTATTTTTGCTATAAATTTTTGACGGCCCACTCAAATAAGCTCCAATTTTCACAGGTTATGTGGAAGGCAGAGACTTATCTTTCGATACAACAGTAAACGTTCTAGCTAATCTTATTAGTGATAAAAGTTAAAAGTACTGTGGCAAAAGCGTCATCGCGTTACGCTCGAGAAAGCTGATATACATCTTCTATGTCCATTCATTATATATATATCTCAGTCATATCTATATTATATTTTACATTCAAAAACTTTTTTCTTATGTAAATTAAATCAATTTTTCCTATTATATTAAAATTCAGCCAGGGGGAAAAGGCGAGACTCCCGTACTCTCGGAGCACAGTGGAAGTACAGGAAAGTACAGTCGAACCACAGGAAAGTACGGTGGAAGTACAGAGAAGTACAATGGAACTACAGGAAAGTACAGAAAAGTATAGTGAAAGTACAGGAGAGTACGGCGGAAGTACAGTAGAAATGCGGACTCCTGGAGTCTCGCTTTTCCCCCTTGAGTAAAACCCTTGACAGGGGCCTCTAGTTTATATAGAATTGTCTATAAGTATTTCTAATCTTTGATTAATATGATTAATTATCAATAATAAAGTAAAATAAGTTGTTTTCTTCTGATTTAATTCTTTATTTATAGAAAAATATCAGTCAATTAATGACAAGACTATATTTGAGAAATTCGAAGAAAACGATTTGTTCGTTAACATAAATGAAAAATCAAGAGAATAAATCTTAATTGATTTGACTAATTTTTTCAACTAACTTCCACCTTTTCGTCTCATAATCAACTTTTGCACAACTTTCGCTTTAGTCATCTGACGAGCAAAAAAAATCAATCATCATTCTCAATAACAAATGTAAATACTGATTTGACACGAGGACCCTAGAGAAAGTACTGAGTTCAGGGTACCCATGTACTGAGAAGGGCCTAGCAGGGTACCCAATATGGATACTTCAAAAATTCTGAGTAATTATACTGATGTAGGTACTGAGTGTGGTTCCCATAAAAGTACCCTCACTTAAGAAGTACTTGTATGGGTACTCGCATCTGTAATTTTACTGAGTCAAGGTATACAGGGTACCCTATATTTGTTGCGTTCTGTGTAGCGACTATTCATTTACTGTTTTCTTTTTCACGCACGGCTCCATATAAACAACTGAGTAAGACATAAGAAATGAATCTATTTTCATACTAATTTTTTCTAGATTATTTCTTGACTATTTCTTAGTCGAGAACGTGCCGATCTTGATCGTAGATTAAGAGCGGACTACTCCGAAGTGGTCTGATGAATACCTGACCAACTCAAGTCGGGTCAGATCCCGGGATTGTATCTGCTAAGTTTTAGGAATTGAAAAAAGTAAATTGAATAAAATCGAAAAAAAAATGTAGTAAATTGCTTTGAGAGAAACAAAAATTAAAAAAAGGTGAAAGGTCAGGTTCGATCCTGAACATACTGAAATTTTTGTAACAGGATACCTAGAAATACTATACAATAGTACCCAATTGAGTATCTGATCAATACCTTCAAGTACCCAGTTACTACACATATTGTAGCAGGGTACTTGTTAAAGTACCAGTTAGGTACCTGAAAGTACTTCGAAGTACTTTGGTGCCCAAAAGTTCCTGTGACATACTGGTAACAGGATACTTTTTCGGGTACCCTTAACTCAGTAGATTCTCTAGAGTATCTATCTCGCAGCGAAGAGTACTAATTAATATATTTTAAAATTATTAGATGCACTAAATTTTCGAAAAAAAACTTAAAATAATTCAAATGTTTTTATATCAGAATTTTATCGTATTTTAAATATAAATTTTAATCATTTTTTGAATTTAAGAATAACTTAAGGTTAAGCAAAGTTGATTTAATTGTTAGTTGGAGATACGGTGAGATTAAAATTTCCAAATAAACTAAACCATACTATAAAAATATCTATTTTCTTTTCATTATAAGTAGTTTTTTATTTTCGCATTTAAAATTTATTTTTTTTTTGAATGTAACTAATTATTTCGAGTTGATAATAATCAAAAGATATTTCTCCAAAAAATATAAAATTTTCTAAATTTATTCTGTTTAATGTTGTCTAAATAATCTCGTATTCTCTAAAAGATAATTGTTTATTCATATGAGAACTTTAAAAAACTTTGAAAAAACTGTATTAAATAGGATTTTAGAACGATTATGAACATGTAGAAGTTGATATCTTGTGAATATGGCTGAATGGTTTAAACGATAGGTAAATGATAGATTGTATGCATCGGAGAATCTAATCTTCATCTTTATATATTCTCATTTAAAATAGTTCCGACTCGTCCACTACATAAGGCTGTAATTTGTCCTATGTACCGTCTCACGAGGGAACATATCCAACTGTCGAACACCGTTCGAGCCCATATTTTGGCTACTAGTAGGACTCAGTGAGACTAAGAAAACCCTAAAATGGTTCGTGCCCATGATGTGTTCCTGGCGAGATATCAGCTTTTTAGTGAATTTTCTCTGTAGCACCTTAGTTTTGTAGCAAAGCTATATTTTCGAATTCTGACTTGAAACTTTCCCTACATAAAGGCTTCGACTAGACTAGCTTTGATAAAAAATCTCAGAAGTTTTGAACAAAGTCTCTTCGAGATCCCGAACTATGAAGACACAGACCATTTTTCATAGATAGTATATATAATATACATTTTTTGAAAACTTGGTATCTCGAAGAGACTTTGTTCAAAACTTCTGAAATTTTTTATCAAAGCTAGTCTAGCTGAGGCCTTTATGTAGGGAAAGTTTCAAGTCAGAATTCGAAAATATAGCTTCGCTGCAAAACTAAGGTGCTACAGAGAAAATTCACTAAAAAGTTGATATCTCATCAGGAACACGTCATAGGCACGAACCCTTTTAGGGTTTTCTTAGTCTCACTGAGTCCTACTAGTAGCCAAAATATGGGCTCGAATGGCGTCCGACAGTTGGATATGTTTCCTGGTAAGTTTCTTATTAAAATGTAGTGGGACGCACCGGTGAATATGATCGTGGCGAATGTGTTAATAAATTTTCTCAAGATTTGCGATGTATGAAGTTGTTTAATGGGATGTTGTTAGTTACTGTTCGATTTCATTTTCATTTTGAAATTATTGATGAAAATCTTTTCAAGAATATTTGTTAAACTATAAAGGTTTTATTAAATGGAGTTTGATGGTTTCTATTTATAATGTGAAAGAGTAGAGTGTAAGTGTAGCTATGGGAATGAACATTGTGTTTAGACATTGACACACCTTCTAGAAGAGTATATCTTTGAAAAGAAATTTCAAACGAGTTTTCCACTTGAAAAATTTGGATTAATGAAAGACCTAGAGAAACGTCTAATTGTAATTAGGAATTAATAGTTGTTTTATTTAATTAATTTTTAAAATGAAGGACACGATTCGATTTAGTTTTTTTCTTCTATCGAATGATATATATTGAGTTGAGTTTTCCTCTTATTTAACCAGAAAAAGTTGAGATTCTCTGTAAAACGTATAGTGATCGATATATTATCAATATATTTTCGATTTGTAAAGTATATAAGGTGTAGAGAAGTATTTTTTCTATCGAATGAGGTATTATTCAAAATATATTCATGTCGAATAAGACTCATATAAAAGGAGAAATACAAATGTTCAAATAATTTTTTTGCCTATGAAATCAAGTGGTTTATTGAAAAAAACTTAAAAACTTGTAAAAGATTTGTTAAAAAAAAATGTTTTTTCCACATAGAATAAAGTCGAGAATATAGACTATAGAACGGTGTAATCAAAGTTTAGAAAATGTTGTTTGTTCGTTATGAAATTGGCTGCACAAAATCGGTTAAAAAGGTGTCGAAATAATTTGTTGAGATAGTATAAGTGATAAAAATTTCAGTCATTGATCTTGTACTGTTCACAAGATATTTATATTAGACTGAAAAATGTAAAGTGACGCTTTTTCCACAGATATTTCCAGTTGAATCAATCCGAAAATATTCTTTTAAAGTGTAAGTTAATTCAACTGAATGTGTTGAGCAAACCTGAATGTATTGTGAATTTTTCCTAATTACTCATTTATCATCTAAACTTGAAAAATGATTTGACACTTTTCAATGAGGAAAGTCAATTTTATAATTAAACTAAGGAGAAACAAAACTATACAACGTGAACTTCTCTTTATACTCAGTGAAATATTAAAAAAATTTTTCCGGTTGACACAGCTATGAAATATAATAAAATACCTTATTCAAAAATTGTTTAAATCTACTTTCATTTTTTCATGTGAATATGAGAAAAAAATTGCAATTAAATAATATATATGTCAACAAGACACAGAATAATATAAATGATGAAATACGAGAAGAAGATGTCATTGATAAAAATACATTAATTCGATATATATATATATAGAATAAGAAAAATTTTCACGCCCTATACTCAATTATCATTTTGAAATTTAAAATAAAAAAAATTAAAGATCACAATTAAAGAATAAAAAGAAAAAAAAGAATGACAAGATCCAACGATTAAAAAAATTTTATAGAATTCATACAGAAAAACTAATAAGATTGAATATATTAACTGAATTCCATTAGATAAATCTACCATATTCAAAAATTGTTTTTCTTTCGAAACATTAGAATCAACTTTTATATAATAAAACAAATTATTTTTGTGTCTCTTCATATATTTAACTTATGAAATATTTAGGGTTAACGCACGATTATATTTAATTTAACCTATATGCATATCTCTATCCGTTGAGATATCTCTATCCGTTGAGTGTAGAAGAAAGTCAATTGGGTTTCGATGAACGTTTATTGTTGACGTACTGCTAATTATCAACGTTTATCAAACTGATAAAGACGACATAGTTAAATGAATAGATTGTGTGAACTAAGCGAGAAATTCTTGAATAAACATTAAGGTGAGAACTAATGTGTCAAAATAAAAAAAATGTGTGAGTCTAGGAATAGAATATCAGAATTGCTTTCTACTCATTAGCCATTTTTGCATTTTTAATAGTCATACTAAAGTATTGTATAGATTTAAATCTTTATTTTCCTATCCTTGTAGAACTTATAGAAGATTTTTCTTCAGTTAAAAAAAAACACAAATAAACATTAGTTAAATATTTAATATTAGTCTTCGTTTTGACGCACATATTAATCAATACGGATTTGAGATATTTGAGAGTAATCAATCAATAAAATATACTATTTCATTTTCTATATATAACCTTCGATTATTGATTGAATAACTAGTCACTTATTTGTTTAAACTGGTTGAATTCCATATTCATTTTATAGAAACTCTTTATATAAGTAATTTCATCTTTAGAAACTGATATTTAAAGAGTAGAATAGACCAAAGTGAATAGAAATATCGTTATCATCGTTAGATTCTCGTTTTTAATAGAGTATATATTAAATATATAAGGTATAACATATTTCATCTAGAAAATATTGATCAACTTACGCATTTTAGAATAGAAAAGCAAAAGTTATGAATATATTGAATATTTGATAAGTAAATATTCGTTAAACTCTCGATAATCATCACTAAGAGGGGAAGTTTAAACAAGTAATTATAATATAGTGATGAATAAAATAATTCTATATATATATAGAATTTATCAATTTTATATTCTAACTATGGATTTTTATTATCTGATCGAAATATTCGAATATACGATATACGATTCAATTTATAATATAATCAAATAATTAATTATCTTTTGATTTTTTTCGAAATATTTTAAAAGTTTAGGTTAATATCTTATGAAGAAAAATCTCGATTGTTAGAGTGAAGTGAAACAAGCGAGTACTATAGAATAGAATATCGATCGGATCTATTCATTTTATATAAAAATCAAACGATTAACCGTCGAAAGATCAATAGAAAAATGGTAATAAATAAAAAATGATATGATTTTATTGTTGATAGATATCCTATTATTGTCATTCTCTAAGTAGCAGAGTTGAAAATAAAACCAATATGAAATAAATTAATATAATTATCTTCGATTTAATATAAGAATAGTTTATAACGAGATGAGATTTGTAGGTATTTAATAAAAAGTAAAATAAATCGAAAATGACATCGTTTCAATGATCTAGAATTTTCAATAGTAGAAAGGAGAAAGGAAAATATTGTTTGATTTCGAAATCGTTAAGGTTTAGTCAATGTTAAAAGTTGAAAAAATGAAAATACTTTAATGATATTATTCGAACTAATTTATAATTTAATCATTCTTGCTTTTTCCTTAAAGATGATTTCGAAAGATAAATGATCGGTTTTTTCAATAATAAAAAACTTTCGAATATGAATTTGGTGTCATTTTCTATAAAGATTGTAAAGTGATTCAATAAAATGTTTAAATACTAATCGACATTAAAAAAAGATAAGATTTATTTTATAGATTATCAATTCAAGTTTATCTTTTATATATTCGACTTTTTCGAACTCTTATCAAATGCGAAACTCTTTCTAATTTGAGATCAATATTTATTTTGTTTAAATACTTTGAAATCTTAAATGTTTAGATATGATAGAATCTGTTAATAATTCTATATATTTTTTAGTATAAAATTACTAAAGAATATGTTTTTCAAGGTTATTTTATATTTTATTTGTTGTTATCGATTAGCATGGATGATAAAGATTACTGTGATTAACAATGCAATATTTTATCCGATAAATAATAATTCGTGGCTTGCTAATATTTCTAATATACAATCGCGTAAATTATGCATTTGTCAATGTTACACTGATTCGAATTGTAGTACAGCTATTTATTATGGTCGTTATCAAATATGTTCACTAAACTCAGCAGAATTATCACAAGGACAATTAAGATCGATGATAAATAGTGAAGATGCTGTTGTTATTTACTTTCCAAGTAG